GTCGGTATCTGAGGGAAATAGCAACAACAATCAAACCTCTATGGAAGCCTCTGTTGACGAGAAATCACATTCAAAATCGATGGAAATGGGCCGAGGATAATATGAAGATTGACTTCTCTAAAGTTTTGTTCACAGACTAAACTCGAGCAACACTTGACGGGCCAGATAGATGGTGCAAAGGCTGGGTAATGAACGGACAGAATCGCCATCAGCGTTTGAGACGCTAACAAGGTGGTGGAGGCATAATGATTTGGGGTGGTATTATTGGAAAAACATTAGTGGGCCTATGGAGAGTACCAGATTGCATCAAAATGACTGCTGATGCATACATAGCGTTTATGAACGAGCATCATGAACCGTGGATGAAAAGGCAAAGTGTTGCCTTCAGAAGGGCCATTGTTTTTTATAGATAATGCTCCCTCACATGCTGCTCACAAGACTACTGAATATTTGAAACAGTTAGGCTTCGATGGACCTCGAATAATGAAGTGGCCAGCAAATTCTCCGGATTTGAACCCAATCGAAAACCTTTGGAGCATCATGAAGCGAAGACTGTACGCCAACGGCCGACAATTCAGGAGCAACGCTGAGTTGTGGGAAGCAATTCTTGACATATCTCGCGGCATTACAGCAGATGACATCCTACAATTAACAAATTCTATGGATCATCGACTTCTTCAAGTAATTTCAAAATAGGGAAAGCACATTCCCAATTAATTTGTTTAAAACTGTGCCTTTGTTTGTATCTGTTATTATTTGTTTGATTATCTGCTTTATTAGCTTTTTTTATCATAAACATTCACGTGCAATATTAATAAACGTTTTGTTTGCTCAATTCTGGGAATTTTACTAAACCTTTCTAATAATTTGCAACGCTCAAATCACCATGCTGATAACAAATATGGCGCCAATTTGTTTACATTGCGCAGATCAGTAGGATTTCAGTGATTGCGCAGGTCAGTGTTGCCAACATTGTGTGAAAATTTTGTGTGAATTGATTGAACGTTTTTTGAAATATTATAAAAAAAGTTATCTCGATAATAATTTGGCACGCAGTGTATATATATATATTAGTCTAAATAAATAAATAAATAAACAAACCACTCCAGCCAAAATATCCGTTAGAATTGATTACCCATAATGCACCACTAACCCGTATATATAAATAATTGGGAAAAAAACCCCAACCAAAATATCCGTTAGAATTGATTACCCATAATGCACCACTAGCCCGTATATATAAATAATCGGGAAAAAAAAACCCAACACATCTGGCCTGATGATTGCCTCTAGCATGAAACAGTCTGTCGGCCCTGAGTGTTGACTTCAATGTTCAATATATATATATATATATATATATATATATATATATATATATATATATATGTGTGTGTGTGTGTGTGTCTGTGTAAAATATATAGAAAATAGGAAAGAACTCGTTAGGTAAATAATCCAAAGTTCAATGTCAGGGTATATATATATATATATATATATATATATATATATATATATATATATATATATATATACCCTGACATTCAAACTATCCTTCTTAACTTTGTTATAGTTGTTGATATAAACACCACGCTTCGACAAATACCCGCTGGTTATCTTCAGTTGTCCATTGTTTTTTTTTGTTTTTACTATATATGGAATCACTTTATGCGTTGATCATTCTGTTATAATGCCGGTTCTTTCTTTATTTCTGTTAAACCAGAACATTTCTTCTTCTTCTTCTTCTTCTTCTTCTTCTTCTTCTTCTTCTTCTTCTTCTACTACTACTACTACAATAATAATAAGGATGGTGATGGCGATGATGATGATGATTATGATGATATTGACAGTGGTGGTATAGTTGCTGGGTAGGTTGGTGGTGTTTATGGTTACCAGTGCATCATCTGTGTACTTATCAGTGGTGTATTTTTAGAGCCATTAAATCCAATGTCAAATGGTTTCACTATTTAGTTACCACTGCCAGTTCAAAACAGCTTTCATCATTACTTTTTGATTTTTATCAAAGCGGGTAGGGAGCCGCCGTAGTAACCATATATCGAAAGAAGGTGAGACTGGATTTAAGGGGCACTAAAAATACACCACAGATGTTCTCCCGAACGCTGGCCTAATAGATACAAGCGTCGGACAGGCAACTGTTGCTGTGATCGTGAGTTCAACTCCTTGGTATGGCTGTATGGTTATTAAACAATATACGATCTTTTAGCAGGAACGAACAAGAACTGGCATTACAGAGGCAAAGATAACAGCCTAATCAATATATAAGCTACGTCAGTCATAGTAAAAAAGCAAAACAAAACCATCCATACCTGTCTATATTTCTGAGATGGGGTACTGTAATTATCTACACTATTTACATTATTCGGACTGTTGGCCTCATTTTTGTTGCCATGTCCACTATATTTCGGTCGTTGTACCCTCCGGCCTTCTTCAGGTAATCGGAATTTCGAACTGAACCTTTTATTTCGTCCACCGGGTTAGAGTGTTCTAGTTCCACGTGCCATGCCTCTTCCGAATGTCTCAGTATCAGTTATCTCATTTCGACTTAATTCTCCTAGTTTTTCTTTGTTCACCTCAGCTATAGTTATGTATTAAACTCACAACACTTTGGGTCAATTCATTAGATTCAACCAACGCTTTTATCCACTGGGCCATGTGTCCTCAAGGGGAAAAAAACAAACTTAGAGAGTTAAGTCAAAGGGAGACAACTGATATTGAGATATCCAGAAGAGTCATGGTACATGGAACTAGAACAATATAACCCGATGTACGAAATAAAGGGTTCAATTAGAAATTCTAATCACCTGAAGAAAGCTCGAGCGTATAATGGCCGAAACGTCGTGAATATGACAACAAAGATGAGGCCAACAGACCGAACAATGTAAATAGTGTAAATAAAAAAAAACAAAGGATATCTGAAGATGGTCAATGTGTACTTCACTGAAACGTTTTGTCTCTAAAAATAAAATCTATATCAATCTGAGATGATAACAACACTTCGAAGAAGTCAATGACTATATTGAGGATTCTTCAAATAAAAATATTTTTAGAAGCAGAAACCGATATTTTTTTCGATAACAAAGAAAACTGGTTGGTTTCTGTTATTGACAGACCGATTTTCAAGAAAAAAACGTAACAGTCTTGGACTAAACAAATCATGAACTAATGAAATCTTTAATTTGGATTAAATATGAAAAAGAGGGGGCAGGATGACACAGCCCCGCCAAGCTCAACTCCGCCGACTCAACACCAGCCAACTCATCTCCGTGACAACTCCATGGCAACTCACCACCAGCCTACTCAGTGCGAGGACAATTCAATGACAGGCAAAATATGATATTTTTCCGTCGATTTTTTAAAAAACAAATAAAAGTAATTTATTAAGGAACATTTTTTAATTCAAAAATTTATTGAAAATTGTATGCAATTGCCGTCAAATATTCAGTTGGAGATCGTTGTGAAAAAGAAGAAACAACCTACAAAATTCTTTCATCTGCCTTCATAAACTTCTTCAGTTTTAGGGGGAGGGGGATGAGCTTCAATTAATTGCTCGAAAAATGCAATTCGGTAATGAATCTCCATGTTGTGGGTTGCTCCATCCCCACCTCTGTATGCAGTCTTTTATTTGCTGTTTTAGCTTGGATATTTATCCGATATTGAAAACTAAACACCAGTCAGCCAAATCAGCTGTTGTAACTAATAAACCAATACGAGAAAAAGCCATACTTTTAAAATCTCCACGATTCAAAGCCGATCTTAGAGATTTTCTCGCTATAACATCCAACACCGGTCTAAAGCTATGAATTTGACGCCAGCGTTGAGTTGTCCGTGTTGAGTCGGCGGCGATGAAATGTCCCATCATCCCGTGAAGAAGAAACTTGAAGCAACAGAAGTGTAGTTCTACAGAATGATCTTGTGAATAACATCGATCAAACACGTGAACAATGACGATGTTTTAGGGAAAATGGAAACAAAAAAGGACATATCTACTTAATATCAGGAAGAGACAGTTGAAATTTCGAAGGCAGGTAATGAGGAAAGAGGACATGGAACATTTGATAGTCGCAGGACAAGATTGAAGGTAAAAGAAGGAGGAAAACAACGTACAACCCAACTGGCGAGCTTGACTAAATGGATGACGAAGCAGGGTTTGGGAGAGATGGCAAAAAGATAAAAGTTATTAACAGCTACAAAGGATAGGAAGATGTAAAGAGCCTTGATCGCCAAAGCCCTTAAGGGATACGGTGCATCTAAGAAGAAGTAAGGTATATCAGATACATTTAAGTATATATACTAATTTTGTTGCAGTTTAATGTAGTTCGAAAAGTTTATTAGATGTGATAAAACTTATCTAATACATTTTCGTGGAAGAGATAAGTTATTAGCATCATAAAAGATAGATAAAAAACAACACGCTTAGTTAAAGAATTAGACTGTGACTCTATTGGCATCTATGACCGTTATGCTTTGCAAACAGGACAGGACAAGACTTGATAACTGTGGTAATGTGTCTGTGGCCACATACACTACCATAGTCTCGGTTAAGCAACAGTTATAAGTCATCTTTGTGTCCTTATGACTTAATAGCTCCATTTTCTTTCTTTCTTTCTTTCTTTCTTTCTTTCTTTCTTTCTTTCTTTCTTTCTCCGAACACTTTCTTTCTTTCTTTCTTTCTTTGAACACTTTCTTTCTTTTTAGCATTCTTATTTTATATATATATATATATATATATATATATATATATATATATATATATATATATATATATATATGTAAAATAAAAATCCTATTCTATTAAGGTAATTTTTATACGCCTTTTTACCGCAAGCGTTCTTAAACTTTGTTACCTATTTCAATTCCTTGTTAAACAAGCTTTATCAGGTCATATCCAAGGGACATAACTCATGTAGTCCTTCTTTTAAAATCCAAGCCAGGTGCGTAGTCACCAGGGAAACGGGAAAAGAAAACACTGTAACAAAACAACGAAAATGTATCGAAAACCTTCATGGGCGACAACTGAATGTGTGGTAAGCCATTAATATTTAGTTTATCTTGTTGATATGTGATTAATTTTAAGTTAATTTGCAGAGGATTAAAAAGTCATTCTTTGTTTTGTGTTGATCAGATTTGCAGGTGTGACTATCAGGGAGATTATTGTAGTAGTAGTAGTAGTCGTAGTCTCGGTTTTCTGCGTGGAGCAGTATCTAACAAGCTAGTGTGTCATCAATAATTACTATTGTACTAAGTCTGATTCTCACTAGGGGTCTCGTCTTGAATTAAGCTAAGCTTTGATAAAATAGTTTCTTTTCGCTGTTGAACAAGGAAGTCATGGATCCTTTTTGCTGTAGTTTATGTTTGTCTAATCGTGAAGCAATGATTATCAAGCTAGCTTTCTTACAGGTTGATGTTGAATTCGCGTTTGTAGCCTGTAGGACTAAAATAGAAGGGCATCTTTTCAGGGAACAATGTCTATCAGGAAAACTCATCTATGAAATCGTTACCCGTATCTTGACAGCCTTGTACCAGACTTAAAAGAATTTCGCATTTGTTAGAAGCAGCGATCAACTTCCTATGGAACTAGTTCGATCCTCATTGGGTACTTCACTCTTATGATGAATAAATACCTTCACCTCGCCGTGGAGCAATGGTATATGTATCCAACCTTCGGGCAATAGTTAGCAAGCTAGTCTCGAGAATGTAACGAGTTTTCATTTTATTGAGTGCTCTGTATTTGAGGCCTTGAGGCAAACTTAGTAAATATTCAGACGTTTGGTGTTAGATTGCTTAATGCAGTTTAATTGTTTGTTTTTGTTTAGTGGCATATCAATACCTGTATAGGTTATTTAATACCGAAATCTAAATATTTTGTACGCAATTTTATTTTTGGGGGAGATAATAATAGTTTTGCCGATTCGAGTCTTACTAATTAACCCATAGTTAGGGGAGAAGGCGGTCACCCATCTAGGTACTGACCAGGCTCAAAGTTGCTTAACTTCGGTGATCGTACGGGAACCGATATGTAAACGTGCTATGGCCGTTAAGCCCAGTGCAGTTTAAAGATAAGCTTATCATGATTTAGCAACAAGGACCGAGCAATAACGAAATGGAAAGATGTTTTCAATTTGGGTGGCCAATGAATAAAAGACGATTTGTTAGGTAACCTTTGTCAAATAAGATCAGTGTCGAGATGAGGAAAATCAGTTGTTGACAGGCCTTCACTAGGTTTATCTCTTTTCTAACACTTCTCTCTCTCTCTCTTATCTTTGTCCGTAACTTTATTTCTTCATGATGGCTTTAAGAAACCCAACAACAATTCCTTGGTACACAGATACGTTCTTAAAGCTGTTTGCTTTCTGCAGTTAAACGTTTTATTGCAAAAGTCTTGCACAAGAATGTTTGTAGGAATTTGTTATGGACAGTGTGGAGCAGTAAGTCTCTGACCGGTAAGAAATCTGACATTGTATTACGAGTCCACCCACCGATTAAATTTAACAGATAAAAACAAGAATTAGAACAAAATATTATTTTCTATTCTGATTCTTGTAAAATCTACAATAGCTCATAAATAACTGGCAGTAATTATTTTCTAGAATAAAAACAGTGTTAAAATTAATGCCTATAATCCAGCTAAGGATATATTTAATGAAATCGCCTATATTGGTTGCAATTTAATGTGCTGATTTTCTAAGCATTTCTCAAATGTGAAACAAGGCCGAAAGCATAGGGTACCCAGTGAGGATTGAACTCAGTATTCAGTCATACTAGATGCAGCCAGACAAGCTTGCTAAACATTACGCCACGTCGAAGAGCCTTTAAACGATTTTCTAAGTGTAGCTTAGATGTGGCCGAAAGCATGGGGCACCCAGTGAGGATCGAACTCACTATTCAGTCGTAATTGATCTAGCGAGACAAGTTTGTTAACCATTACGTCACATCGAAGAACCCTTAGATGATTTTCTAAGCGTATCTTCGATGTGGCACAAGGCCGAAAGTATGGGGCACCCAGTGAGGATCGAACTCACTATTCAATTGTAACTGATCTAGCTAGACAAGTTTGCTAACTATTACACTACATTGACGTGCACTTGTTGCCATGTAATGCACTTCGAAAAAATGTATATAGTTTATTAAACGTCATTGAGCTCGTCTGATAGACTTTTTTTAATAGATGGGATAAGTGAAATAGCATTAAGAAAAAACAAATAGGAACAACAAGTTTGCTTGATGAATAACACGTGGATTTTATTTGTACGCATGACAGCTATGCCTTGTTAAATGGACTGGACACGGTCATTTCTGCTTAGTGATTTTCCAAACGTAGCTTAGGTGTGGCACGAGACCGAAAGTTGGGGGCACCCAGTGAGGATCGAACTCACTACACAGTCGTAATTGTTCTAGCGAGACAAGCTTGCTAACCATTACACCGCCTCGAGGTGCCCACGGTCATTTCTACTTAACAGACACCGGTAGTGTCTGTCGTCACAGTAGCTTTGTGATCTTAAATCTTTTTACAGCATTTCATGATGATTTTCTTTTTAGTTTACGTTCTCGGCTTATTTCGTTTTTATTCATTTCATTTATCAGTCATATTTGCATCACTTTATATTTAATATACATTTAAAAAGATTTAAGATATATTTAAAAAAGATTTAATATACATCTACAAAGATTTAATATACATCTAAAATATTTAATATACATCTAAAAATATTTAATATGCATCTAAAATATTTGATATATATCTAAAAATATTTAATATACATTTAAAACATATTTAATATACATCTAGAATGATTTAATGTGCATCTAAAATATTTAGTATGTATCTAAAAATATTTAATATGCATCTAAAATATTTAATATGCAACTACAAAGATTTAATATATATCTAAAAATATTTAATATACATCTAGAAAGATTCAATATACATCTAAAAATATTTAATGTGCATCTATAATCTTTAATATACATCTAAAAATATTTAATATACATGTAGAATTAATATACATCTAAAAATATTTAATATGCATCTAAAAATATTTAAGATGCAACTACAAAGATTTAATATATATTTAAAAATATTTAATATACATCTACAAAGATTTAATATACATCTAAAAATATTTAATATACATCTAAAAATATTTAAGATACATCTACAAAGGTTTAATATTTATCTAAAAACATTTAATATACATATAAAAATATTTAATATACATGTAGAATTAATATACATCTAAAATATTTAATATGCATCTAAAAATATTTAATATATATCTAAAATATTTAATATACATCTAGAAAGATTTAATATACATCTAAAATATTTAATATACATCCAAAAATATTTAATATACATCTACAAAGATTTAATATATATCTAAAAATATTTACTATACATATAAAAATCAAATTCTGTCAGTAATTGTAGAAATATATCTGATGATGTCTTAATTATCAAAATCGGTGGAATTTTCATTGACCGCACTTATAACTTTTATTTGTTCTTACTATTATCGGTAGACTAGATAAATCACACTGAAAATACTAGTTCCAGTTTGATCACCAAAGTTAAGCAGCGTCGATCACGGTCAGTACTTAGATCGGTGACCGCTTGCGAACACCATGTTTCACCTTTAAATAACCCACAAGGGGTTGATAAGCCGTAAAAATAAATCAGTCAATCCAGACTAGACAAATAAGAATATAACAGCAACGAAAATTTGGGTACTTCGCTGTGGGGTAATGGTTAACGAGCTAATGTAGTCTGACGATTATATTGACTGCCTGTATAAAACTTGATGCAATTCAAATATTTTTCTTTATTCCATAGCGTTTCGAACAAATATCACTATCATAGATGTTGTTGTTGTTGTTGTTTTGGACACAATAATTCGGCCGTTATGTTCTTCAGCCTTTCGTGCTCTTATATCTGAGTCACTAAAACAGTGAATATTGAATTATGCGTGGTACCAGCACAAGACAAACATTGTGAGGTTTTACTATTTTTCGTTCCGAAATAAAGGTGCGTCTTATAGAGAGGTATATCCACTATATAATTAAAAAAAAATATGATTACCTGGAGGTGAGTGTCGGTTTTCGATGAATCAACAGAACCGTTTTTGCTCGATCAGTCATCGATTCTAAATACATTTTTCTGTCTTTTTCCCCCCAGAAGAAAGCGAAACTCATCGAACTGGGAGAATTACTTGCATTCATGCAAAACCACTTTCTTTCACTAGCTATTGTAGATGATTTTGGTTAAGATAGAAACCCTGATTCTCTTGCGGTTATGCAGGCCTGTACGCAACAGGAATAGGCGTACTGTGTATTGTGATACATTCCTTCCTTCCTTTACCTCCATAAAAGATAGCCCTTTCATTGGCTTGTAATCGCCGGAAAAAAGCCTCTGTTAACTTCTGGCGTCGATAAATCTTGGCCGTTCAATGGCATCACTACGGTTAGTGACTTTGTCCTCTTCGGAGAACCGCTGATAAGTATTCATCACAGTTGAATATAAATACCCTACAGATTATGCAGTCTTGGAATTTTTAATTCTTGCTCATAAATGCAACAGTAAACACATAAAAATGACGTACCCGAGGTTGGCTTCTCTGTTTATATATCTCTGATTTTGACGTTACGAGACAGTAACTGCCATTCTTGCCATGTACCGCTGGTCATAAGTGCTTTGACTCCTCGGTGTAGGATAGATAAAAAAAATCGGTGAGAAAGTTTTGCTTATTAATCAAATAAGTCTCTCAAAGACATAAAAGCGAAAAAATAGAAGCATAAAAGAAAATTGTTAATAAATATCTGAAGCTGAACTGGTTGATTTGATTTTTTACGGTTTATCAACACTTTTGTGTTATTTAAAGCGGAAACATATTTTGGATTGTAAGAATAATTTTTTGCGAGCGAATATTCCATTAACTTTTTTTTAGAATAACAATAATTTTTCCTGATACAAGTTCTACTATTTAACCCATAACTGAAGGGAGATGACAGAAAAATATTTGTTTAAGTAAATTTGTATTAATTTATATTTTATATTGTCGTATCCTGTCGAAACTCTAATTCTTTCACTGAGACGAAAGTGCTCACTGCAACACCCTTATATGACAAAAATAGGCCTTAATTTCGTCCGGCTTCTCGCATCCACTTCCAGAATACTGCCTCAATAAGTATGGGTCATAAAACATCTTTTCTGACCCATCAGAAAAAGGCCCACGCGGTTTTCGTACCAGCTGTTTCTGAGTCACTCATTGACTATAAAGCCAAAGCCAATTTCAACTATAAAGTCAAATCTGGTATTAGCGACGTAGCCCACGGCAGGCAAGCTTAACCAAGCCATCACAAGCGACACCAAAGCGCTTCCAGCAATAGCGACGAAACCAGCGGTAGCAGCAAGACAACCTCTCGATAATTTGTAAAATATTTCTCCCACTAGTTTTTCTTACTTGACTAAATATGCGTGTTGATTTTCTTCACATGTCTATTTCAAGTTCAACCTTGTGTTATGTCTAGACAAACTATCAGTCTACCAGGACCGATACCCCGGAACGAGTAAACGATCGAACGTTATAAGTCCCGGGAAATAAAGTCTCTTTTACTTATTTCACCCACATCAAATCTCCGTTTGTAGTTTTGTCTTCCATTTTTAACGTACAGTGTAACCCGTATATAAGAGAGTTGTCGGGACCGGAGAAGAAGTCTCTTATATCCGGGTTTCTCTTATATCCGGGTTTTGTCTGTTTTGTTTACATTAACACAGGCTCTAATTTGGGACCAGAGAAAATCTCTCTTATATCCGGGTTTCTCTTATATCCGGGTCTCTTATATCCGGGTTACACTGTAGTTACAATTTGGTGACCACGGTACGACGTGATGCGGTAATATATACACTCTAGCTACGGCATCCGGTAAAAAAACTTTCACTGTTAATTATATTTGGTTACTGTCTAATTTCGAATGCTCGAGATTTTGTAGGTGGATAGATACGAAGCAAGTATAAATGTAAAAATACAAAACTAACTCGC